ATGGAAAATGAAGGCTATACAAAGTTGTAGGCCACAATAGCCGTTTTGGCTCGTTCACAGAAAATTTAACCTAACAAACGAGTTTCTGAGTATGGCGGTTAATTCATTACAGTTAGTAGCATACAAGTCAGCCCGGCACTAATTGGATGGACATTCTAAAATGTCGCTCGGTAAGGGCTGGACATCCTAGAATGTCGGTCACTAAGGTATCGGTCACTACGTCCAACGTCGAGCTACCGAAGAAGCCGCGCAAAGGATACTTGTGCACCAATTCGGTCAGCTCCGCCGTTCTGCGTTCACGGCAAATTCGCTATTCTCCAATCCCGCTGAATGACAGCTATTATTCGTTTCGCGAATCGTCCAATTTTGCCGTTCTCCGAGGCCATGAATTGTGAACAACAAGGAATAACTGCCGCCCCCTTTCGCTTGTGCCACACTGCCGGCAAAGCGATGAACCAACGCCAGCTGCTGATGGAGACCGAGTTCAAGTGGCAAAACCGTACCTGCACACGTGCTCGTACTTCCATACAACAGCTGCATAAACTGCGGACATTTGCAGGAGAACTGGTCATGCCCATCCATGAGACAGAGATGTGAGCAGGAGCTTTTGGCGCACGGATTTCGTATCGTTCTGAAAAAAAGAGGCTATCAGACTGAGAAGATCGTAATGACTCGAGACCTGAATAATTGACTTAAAGCAACAACCCCAGATGAGGTCGTGTCAAAGAATCTATTCTGTGAGTGGGATAGAGTAGCCCACAAGTATCACAGATGTGCCGTTGTCGCGGCTCGAAAGTGCGCGACAATGGCGCTAGGGTCTACAAAGTGAGCTAATGGACGAGATACCTCGCGCACACCCATGACACGCACGTGGATTACGACGTAGCGGCAATTCAAACACGCGCGGGTTAGTGGAGCCATGGAGCAAGCGAGTTCAGACAACTCGTCCAGACCCGCCCGTCCCTCTTTCCAAGAAAGAAGAGCAGAGAAGGAATTCTTGTTGAAGGCTTCATCAGTGGTTTGCTCTAGTTCTTGCTTTGTTTTCAGCGATTTTGTCATCCATATTTCATTATCGACCGCTGTTACCTCACCAATTTGGCCTGGGGTTTATGCTTTATCACTAAACCAAAAATTCTTTAGCAGGCTGAAATTGATTATGATGTATGGGGCTACCCAAACGCAACTATCAGTTCTCTCATCTCTCAGAACCACTTTTGTAACATGATCTAAGGATCACGATGAATCAAGATGAGATATGACACGTGAGGGATACAGCGGAATTGCACGAGCTTCAGGTTTGGAGGGGCCCAGCTCAGCTCAAGCGACGATTCCTAGCAATCTTCCACTAGGGAGCATGGTTAACCGTGCGTTCGCACCATTCGAACGAGGGGGTCGCATTTTTGGTTTTGGAAGGTGGCGGGGGGACATCTAGGGGGTGAGGCTGATTCAGATTTGTTTTTGTTGAGGATGGAAGTGGCGTAGGGGTTTGCAGCAGCGGGGGTAGGATAGGTGAGAGTAGGGAAGAAAATTTGCCGTCCGTTTCACTGCATTTCACTGCACTTATACACCCCCCCCCCCGCTCGACGGATCGTTTTGGAGGAAAAGTGGGCGGAGTTGGGCTGTGTCGACTGGTCTCAGAAATACTATAGAAACAGCCATGATGGCGGGTGGTGGTCGGGGATGGTGGTCGTATTGGGGAGCCTCCTGAGTCTCTGATGGTGGGGGTCGCATCGAGATCCCCCCTGAAGGAGGAGGATCGCGAAATTTAGAAAAAAAATGCGGACGTCGCGGTTGATCTGCTGGGAGAGGCTTCGCGTTGCTTCCGGGTGTATGCCTTTTGAGCACGCGACGATAGAAAAGCTTAGTAATTCCTAAGCTCAAAAGTGAATAAGGGCAGCTCATAGAGGAAGATACAGGATTTCACCGGAGAATTCTATGGAACCCGTCTTTTACCGCGTCTACAACACTACTGCCTCTCCCTATGGGCAAGGTGATTTTATCGCCCACTCTTCTATCCCGTTTTCATCGGATCATTACCATAAACGATATGAAATAACAGTTATACCTCGGTTGCTTACTGCGATGCACGACTTTCACATAAAAAGGTCGAATAGGCGTGTGAAAAACTGCAGCTATTGATGAACCATTCCATTTATTAGCCTACAATTAATCGAATTATTGCTCGTAATAAACCAATCATAAGGGTGGCAATTGGGAGTAAGCTAAATTCCCCATCCTTCTTGAAAATACACTTAGTCTAAAAGAAAGATCAACACTATCGTGTGGAAACACACAATCATCCGCCAAGCGACAATATCACATTAAAGTTTGTGCCTACCCGGACGATGGCGTTAATCCTCCAATCAGTCCAATAGACGTGATTTTCAAACAGATCGACAGAGAACGGATGTGTTGAGAACACATGGTCGCGCAGTACTTCCACATGATCCTCGCCGTCGTACTACGTGGTTGTCCTGTATCCACTGAATTCCCTATAAAGGACACCAAGACTCAAATTAATCATCCTTAAATATCGCCGTGCAGCCACAAATCGCGGCCCTTTAGCACTGATTTGCGCTAATCGTCCAGTACGGAGGACCTCCTATAAAAAAAGCTAAGAGGAAGCACAAACTCCGAAAACCTGTGAGTGAAATAGCCACGCATTCTGATATCTCTCCTCGGGAGACGTCTCAGCTAATGGCGACGTATACGACTTTTGCGATCGCGCGAGTTCACTAGCGTCCTGCCGTCGCGTTGCGTACAAGTTCAACCTGAGTATTCACTGCGGTGACGCGACGCAGACGCAGCGATTCGCAAGTCGACATCGCCTAAGGTTCAGTCCCGTACACAACAAAAAGAGGTCTTTCCCTCGGTTCGAATTGCGACCACAATGCCCCTCTATCTTGAGATTGCGCTTAGATTTTTCCAAAGCCGCTCATAACCATTTCGCACGTTATAGCGCCATGAAAGGGTTCAATCTTACAAGATGTGCAACTGCGGCGCCTCTAGCCACTGCGCCACCTTCTCATACAACCTTTCAAGATCTAGAATAAACTCACTTAGCATCCACCCAATAGATTCGTCTCGCTATTGGGTCACACACAAGACCATTTGGCCAGCCGGCGTTCACTATAGATGACACCTGCAAACACCAGCTTTTGATCCTGGAGCACATCCAATATTTTTATTTTTGCCCTTTTTAAACCCAACAAATCTAGTTTTAAGCGCTTAGTCCTCTTAGAATTCACACGAAAAACACTGCAAAAAGTACAGCGTACATGAAAAGTGAACATTATCATAATAAAGTACGTTCATAGTTGGCGATCGTACGTGCGATTAGGCGATTAGGCGATGATTCAAAAAGAAAAGTATACGTATCGATAAGGCGATTAGGCGATTAGGCGAGTAGGCGATGGAGAAGGATACGTATTGATTTGTTGCTCCGCCCATTGAGCGATCGCCTAATCGCCTAATCGCCTACTCGCCTAATCGCCTAATCTATACGTATTTCATTATAGACTAATCGCCTAATCGCCTAATCGCCTAATCGCACGTACGATCGCCAACTCTGAACACTCCATAACCAGATATCGAGCGATTCAAAGGCCCACTGGAATGTTGACGTGTGGGCGGAGTCACTTAGTCTCCTTCAGGCCGATGTCAGACTTTGCGAACCGCGCGATTCGCAAAGTCTGACATCGGCCTCAAACGCACCAACAGGCAAGACACAATCGTCCAAATAACTCCACCCACAACATCAAGATGGAATGTTTTTTCCCGGGAATATTTGCAAATGAGCAACGAAAAAGTTAAAAAAAAAAGTCGCCAACTGTGAAATTGGAAAATTTTTCGTGGATTTTTAGAAAAAGCTCTAAGCTGTTCCTCGAATGCGGCTCAACATTTTAACAGTAAGTCGTTGGAAAATTGTGAACAAAATCGATTCTTTTCAAAAAAGCTCTACGTACCTTGAAAATCACAGTGCGATTTTTCCCAGCCATTGTAGCTCGTTCAATTCGTGGATTTTCATCTTGCCAATCCGTCCAGAACATTAAGCCGCGGCTAAAAAA